ATTATTATTATTATTATTATTATTATTATTATTATTATTATTATTATTATCATTATTATGGTTATTATTATTATTGTTATTATTATTATTATTATTATTATTATTATTATTATTTTAGGTGTCAAATCAGCTATACAAGATCAAGATAAAATCAAAAGACAGAAGACTTCAGTAGACACAATTGTTAGTTAGACTTTTAGTGTTGCTATTTATTATTGCAATATTTGTTAATATTCATTATTATTTTGCATTATCATTTCAGATCAAAAATATTCGCACGAGAAGTACATCAGAAAGTTCGTATCAAGCAAGATTTATCAAAATCGATTATTGTGTCATTCGTTTGCATCATATTACTATGATATTCGCATCAATACAGAATCAGTGATTACCATTGGGAGATCATCTAATTTTTATGAGAGTAATATTATTTTAATAGGATTTTTATAAGAGGAGATAAGGTCAGCAATACAGCTATAAGGTTATAATAGCGCTGATTATTAATATTATTTGATTATGAGCTTTTGATTTGATATCCTTCGTGTTCGGATCATATCACACAAGCACATCACATCATGCAAACAAATCAACCAATTCATTGTGATCGAACCGACTTTTGAAGAGAATTCCCGGGCAAAAGTGGGAGAATTTTGGGATGAAAAATTGTCTAAATTAATCAATTTTAAGATTGATTATGGGGCCCCAAACGTTCTGAGCGATCGGTCAGCAACCGCATTGTAGCATCAGTCAAATTTGACGGTTTTCTAGCCAATTTAGGGTTCTCTCTGTTGCATTTGTAGAAAACTAGAAGTAAAAATTCCACATTGATTCATTGTATTGTAATCAAACATTCTTCTATTAGTTGGGGTGTGATCACTTTGCTATTGCATTTCACTCGAACAATCATTGATCTGACGAATGATACAAATTTTATGGGATTAGAATGGCATACGAGAACAGTTCCTGATTGAATTTAGGCTTACGATCAGTATCAGTAATCTACAGTCACCTGTTTGTTTGTATTAATGTAACATCCGAATTGTTCTGTTGTTTTTGAAGCCGATGTTTACTCATCCTAACAAGGGAAGGTCACGAAATTACTCCCACGTTTCGGGATGAAATATATATCATGTTGTAGATCTCGTCGAGCTGATCACGAATATGTAAATCATTTCTGCGAAACACAAAGGGAAGGCAAGATATGAGGGAGGAAAGATTTTCATTGTATTGAAGTATCGTTTTGAATTCTGATCTGACAGCAGCGGTCTGGCATAGTGGGTAGTGCGCTAGCGCTAAGTGTGGATGCCGGTGGTTCTGTCCCGCGCGTTGACGAAGCTTTTTTCTCATACATTTTTAACATATTCAAACAACCATGATATTTTGCCTTACTCCCCACAGCTATTTCAAGGTGTGGGTATATTCTTCTTTTATTTTATTTTTTTTAATTCTGCAATTTTTTTGATTTTTTACATGTAATCGTTATATGCATGTCTGTTTACTACAAAATGGTTGAAGCATAGATATATTATAATTTAAAATAAGAACATTTTACAAAAGATGAGTGATCACAATTGTTAATATCACATTCTTGGACCACGTGCTGTGGAAAGCACAGTTCAACAGGCGTTTGGAATGCTTCTGGATGTTCTTGAATGTATCCGCATGCATACCGCGAATATTTATTGAACTCCCGAAATACCGGATTACAAAATTGATTAAAGACCACTTCGAGAATACAGTGCCTCCCACAGCACTTGGTTCAAGAATTGAGAATACAACAATTAAAGACCACAATTTTACAAAAGATACGAACGTACATATACAACATACAACACGGAGGCCGTATCAATACTCACTTTGAAGCCTTTTCGTCCCACCTGAGAAGGTCAATTGATGGTGTTGACGCAAGCGAAGCTTGTAAACAACGGAAAATTTGAAGTTCTCTCGAGAAGCAATGGAAATTGGAGAATTTCATTGTGAAAGCAATGAAAAATTGAAACTTTTGTGAAAAAAAAGTGAAAAACACATTGTCCGTAGCTCTTTCTCAGATGAGAATCAGTAGTTTTCATTGGTTTGCAATGTGGAGGTATGCAATATCTGCTGAATGATTCATTGAAAAGTTCATTTAGGATTGCAATTCACAACGTCTTAAAGGAAATTGACACTCGAAAAATTAAAGCCTAGCTAAAAATCATTTAACAGCTTACTTGCATAGATCAGACAATTATTATTTCCATCCATTACGGATACTATAGATCAATAGATGCAATGCAATAGCAGAGAAATATAGGTTTGATAAATTCAAGCCTGCCGTCTTCTCAGGCTTGCCGGGAAACGTATTGATGTTTAAACACCGTTCGATCTAGCAGAATCTCTTCTTTCTAAAAATGAAAAGTTTGATGAGAAAGTCCCCTTTTCAGAGGAGATATAGCAATTTATGTGATGCTATACGGGTTAGCACATTCAAGCTATAAGTGTAGGCTTGAATGTGCTAACCCTATAGCATCACATAAATTGCTATATCTCCTCGCAGAGTGGGAATTTTTCAGCAAGCTTATCATTTTTAGAAAGAATGATACTGTTCAATCGAACGGTGTTTAAACATTAATATGTTTCGCGGCAAACCTGAGAAGACGGCATGCTTGAACATATCAAACTTATATTCCGATACTATTTCACTGCATCTATTGGTCTGTAGTGATCACGTGCATATCTATGAGCAATTCAGCGCTTGTTGAGATAGCTTTAATAAAATAGCTAGATCTTCTCAACAAAGTAAAATCGCTCGACAAAATATATTCTTTTCTGGATGCAGAGATTCTGTTTGATCGACTGATGTGAAGAAATTGATATGTTACTGGTCAAAGCTGAGAGTACGGTAGTTTTGAATGTGCCAACCCCTACAGCATCAGATAAATAGCTATATCTCCTCGCAGGGGCGGAATTTCTGAGCAAAGTTTTCATTTTTTGAAAGAAGACGCCTTATCTGCAGCACCAATCCTATCTTATGTAATAAATGTCAGTTGAATATCCACTACAATTTCTGTATTGCATGAACCTACTTAGATTCAATATGTCATCAGCATAAAAAACGTTGAAGGAAGCATATTACTTGCTTCTCATACGTGTCATCTTAGGAAACGGTCTCATCTGGTCTATTGTGGGATAATGAACGGTTAACTTTATTATGAGTAAGCAGTTCATGAGAGGCAGTTGAAG